CTGCTCTTTTCGGTGGATACATTTGGATACAGTTTTCGATTTTTTATGGATACTTTAAAGGCTAAGGCAGTGGCAACACTGATTGTACTTAGAGAAGGTGTTGAGCATTAGTTGGCGAACTTGCAAAAGATTTTCACAGCATCGCTTGCACTTGCCTACATACCACAAATAACTTAGATTTGTTCTATGCTGGCGTAGCTGGTCATTACTATTGAGGCAGAGGGAGGTCAGTATGTCGCGTGCGGAGTTAACAAGAGCTGCCATCAATGTGACATGCTTATAATAATTTATTTATAGGAAATATGCAAAATAGATACAAAAATATGCAAAATATAAAAAAAGGAGAATATGCAAACATGTAAAATATGTGAAAAAATGCAAAACATAATAAGTCCAAATTAACTCACTTCTTCCTATAATGATTCTGTGATGTTAAACAAAAATAATCACTTGCATAAATATCCGAGCTCTACTTATAATATAAAGATAACTTCACAAAATAAAGTGGGAACGAAAAGTTTTATTTGTTTTTCAAAGACAATACTTTAACAAAAATCTACCAAAACAAACAAAAATTTACATTTTTACTAGAGTCCCGACCGATTAATCGGCATCGGCATCGGCCGTTTTTGGCCGATTCTTAGCCTATTCCTTTTACTTTTTTCGCAATTTTAACAAATCTTGATCAAAATTTGAAACTGTTTAGTCAGATTTTTTATAATTTTTTTCAGTACGCACTTTCTTAAATCTAATATATAAAAATCTCGGGTCACGGTGTTAGTGGTCGAACTCCTCCTAAACGGCTTAACCGATTTATATGAAATTATTTGTGCATATATGGTAGGTATGAGTATCGGATGTAAAGTATATTTCATACCGCTTGTTGCAGGGGGCGTGGCACCTCCCACACAAACCGAATTTTTCACACTGCATATCTCTGAAAGTGTTCATGGTAGAGTACTCGAACATGGTATGGTGATATACGAAAACAATCGCATACTCATGGAGACAAATTTTCGTTATTGGAAAAGGAGGCGTGGCACCTCACATACAAACCGAATTTTTCATACTGTGGGTATATCTCTGGAAGTGTTCATGGTAGAGTACTGAAACTTGGTATCGAGATATATTGAATCAATCAAATGGTCATGAAGAAAAATTGAGGGTATTGGAAAAAGGGGCGTGGCACCTCCTATAGAAACAGAATTTTTCACACTGCATATCTCTGGAAGTGTTCATAATAGAGTAGTAGAACCTCTTGAACCTGGTATGTTCAACACATATAAAATCAATCGCATAGTCATGAAGAAAAATTGTTGCTATTAGAAAAAGGGGCGTGGCACCTCCCATAGAAACGGAATTTTTAGCACTGCATATCTCTGGAAGTGTTCCTGATAGAGTACTGGAATTTAGTATGGACATACATATATAAAATAAATCGCACATACATGAAGAAAAATTGGGGCTATTGGAAAAAGGGCGTGTACCTCTCATACAAACCGGATTTTTTATACTGCATATCTCTGGAAGTGTTCATGATAGAGTACTCGAACATGGTATGGATATATATGAAATCAATCGCATACTCGTGAAGAAAAATTCGGACTATTTGAAAAGGAGCGTGGCACCTCCCATATAAACCGAATTTTTCATAATAAATAAGTATCTTTGGAAGCGTTCATGATAGATTACTGGAACTTGGTATGGAGATACTATGTATGTATGTATGTATATGAAATCAATCCCATACTCTTAGAGAAAATCGGGACCATTTTACAAGGGTGAGTGGCGCCTTTCAAACGCACTGAAGCTATTACGTATTTTGGTATGCATATACACTTATGCTAGGTTATTTGAGATGGCAATGTTCACCACCAAACCGTAATATTAGAAGATGAATGCATCACTGAAAATCATGAACGTGAACTGTTGGAGAAAATGTTGGACCGAAATGTTTCAATACAAAAAATTAATGCGTTAGTGTTTGTTGATTTTGCCGACAGGCGGGACGAAGTTCGCCGGGTCTGCTAGTTTTAGTATAATAAAGTGCAAGTTTGAGGTAGCTAGGTAAGTGTTAATTTTTGAAAATTTTTTGTTCACGCATTTTCTTTAAAACAAAGTATGTTCAAACATTTTTTTGTATGGAGAAAATCCGCAACACCTTCCACAAAAAAATTTCCAAAAATCAATAACAAGTCCTAAAAATTGAATGGGCTACACAACTGCATACTCAGAATGTTTAAAGAAAGAGTTTGAAATTTTTACTAACATGATTTTTGTTAGACAACGAGCTACACTTCCATAAAAAAATAAGAAACATTAAATAAACGAAGGGGAAATACCCGAAGAATGCTAAAATGTCGTTACTGTAAGTATTGTTACGATTATCCTAGAATTAATCGGTGAATTCCTAAATCCTTCGGGTTCTTTTCACTGGATTGTTAAATTGTTTACGTTACAAAAATACTTGTATCATTAAAAATCTACGGTTACTGTCTATTAATAAATTGTATTCAATACAATACCTTTATAGTCAGCAGAGGCTGCATGTTTTTACTACTATAAGTACGGTGACCATCCGTCCTGTATTATACGGGACAGTCCTCTTTTTTGACCAATTGTCCTGGTAATTAATTAATTTTATACGGGACGCTAAATGTTCTGTATTTCTTTTAATGTCCTGTATTTGTCCCGTATTCGATGTTCGTTAATTCGACGCCTTAACAGCTCATTAAAATGGCATGCCTATGAACCTGTTTTAAATAATATTGGTATATGATCGCAACTTTCTCCATTATCAGTTATTATTTTTCAATCTGGAAGCCTTTGACTCGAAGTGAGGAATACATACAGTGACCAAAATATAAATTAGGACTATACACTTTAGCGAAGTTTGCCTATTTTTTTTGTTTATTATTTTTTTATGAAAGTAAAGCCTCTTTCCTAATAAAAACCAAATAAATCCAAATATCCGACTTTGTGCAAAAACAATGAAAATTAATTCTGCAAAGTTGCACCAAAATATCGCACTTTTTAATCAGAAAATTTAGAAAAAATTTGCTTGCAGTTTTGTATCTCATTAAAATGAGTACAATAAAGTGCGACGTGCTACTCATTTGCTTCCCTATAAAAAAATTTTCGAACATACTTCCTTTGGATGAAAAAAATGCGTAGCACCAAACAAAAAAAAAACGTTGCCAAAAATTAACGATTAGTCCCAGCTACTTCAAACTTGTACTTCATTATACTAAAATTTAACGATTTTTTTGTAAAAACTGTTGTGGGTGATGTTGTGTGATGCTACTACAGTGGTGCTGTTTTAAGGCTAATACATCTAGGATCGTTTAAAATGGATTTAAGATCTTTTAGCATTTGTGGAAAAAATTCGCAAAATTATTTTTGTCCCGTATTCGGCTCCCATAAATATGGTCACCGTAACTATGAGTACAACTTAGAAATGTGATTTCGAATAAACTATTTTTTAACATTGAATAAGAAAAAGACTATGGAACAAAGTATTGCAATGATATGTAAGCATAGGCGATATATGTACTACTTTTAATACATATTTATGTATGTATATTAGACTGCATCACTCCCCATACAAAAAAAAATCGGTACTATTTTTCCATTGGGATTATAAAATCTATTACATTTTAGGACACCCACCAAAATATTTCGGAAAAATATTAAGATTTAAGTGAGCTGGACCGATTTGAAAATGCCTCCAAAAATGGAGTTTTCTATGAATAAAATGGGTTTCTTAAGATTTTTTTTTAGAAAATCCCCTCAAATGACAAAACGGTTTAAGCTTAAAATATTTGCATAAAAATATTTAAAAAAATTAAAAACAAATTTTGAACGGAATCGTAATGATGAGATTTTTGAAGATGTTTTTTAACTTTTTCCAAAGATTGGTATAGGAAAAACTTGAATAACTGAACCCAAACTCTTCCGATGTTNACGGTTTAAGCTTAAAATATTTGCATAAAAATATTTAAAAAAATTAAAAACAAATTTTGAACGGAATCGTAATGATGAGATTTTTGAAGATGTTTTTTAACTTTTTCCAAAGATTGGTATAGGAAAAACTTGAATAACTGAACCCAAACTCTTCCGATGTTGACTTAAGAGGTGTCATTGGAAAGGTATTTTCTTACCCTTTTTATTTCTTTGCTAATAAACTCATTCAAAGGATGGAAGAGAAATGTAGGATGAACGAACGTCATTCAAAGTTGAATTAAGATGTGTTGGTATTCGAAAAAACAAGATGGGACACGAATGACGTTTTTTTGGCCAGAAATAAAAACAGTGTTTCAAGTTTTTCGTAAACCAATCTTTGAAAAAAGTAAAAAAAACAGCATCAAAAATCTCATTCTTACGATTCCGTTGAAAAGATTTTCAAATATTTTTATGTAGATTTTTTAAGCTTAATCTAATTTGTCATCTGAGGTGACTTTTTACAAAAAGTTCTTTAAGAAACTATTTTTATTCATAAAAAACTTCATTTTTAGAGGTATTTTCAAATCGGTCCAGCTCGCTTAAATCTTAATATTTTTCCGAAATATTTTGGTGGACGTCTTTAAATATAATAAGTTTTGTAATTCCGGCGGAAAAACCGCAACTTTTTTTGGTGATGCAGTCTAATGTACATAAATAAGCGAATAGATTCTTGAAAGATTATGTGTTTCGTAATGTTATTGGTTTATGTTTTTCTTTTGTCTTTGTTTCTTTATCGGCATCGGCATTGACCGATTCTTTGCCCTAAGGCCGATTAATCGGCATCGGCCAAAATATGGGAGTCGGTCGGACTCTACTACCGAAATTTTTTCTAAAAATTTTGATAACAATTTACCAAAGTGACACCCCTGTTCACAACAGTAAATGAACAACATAATTGGCAGTGTCAATGGGAACTTAACTTTAATCATTCGCTTCACATCTCTTACTTTCCCTACTACCAGCCGTAAATTTTTACGTTTCCCTTCTTTTACTTTCAGGTGGCCTTAATACTCTCGCCATACTGGGTGGCATTATATTGGTTTTAATTATTGTTATTATACTGGCTATGGCTGTTTGCTTTTCCAAGCGGCGAGCACGTTACTACACACGTGAGGATAGACTGAATGGTAAGCGTATAGCTACGTTGACCATATTTTTGAAGAGTAAATAAAGGACAAACTTTCATATATATATATTTTTTGTTATTGTATTAAATTAAACACATTAAGCCGTATCACAATATATGAATAAAAAAAGTTGAGTCTGTCTCTGTTATATTTGAACATTTATGTCGAGACAAAAAAATTGGGTGTAGAACTCTTTTTAAGCACCCACTAAAAACAACTAAATCACATTTTTCCCTGTAACTTTCTTATTTGATGTCCAATTGTTTTAACCTTTATGTCGCCGAAAAGGTCTCGCTCCGGTCCATAATTGACCCTTTAGAGGTTTTGGCATTAAGACCCGTTTTATACCCGACCGCACTTGTGCACAAGGGTATTATAACTTTGTTTGCATAACGGTTGTTTGGAAGAGCCAAAACGAATCGAGATAGATATAGACAAATGTATACATAAATGATCAGAATGAAAAGAGAAGTCGATTAAGCCATGTCTGTCTGTCCGTCCGTCCGGACTCGACCGATAACTCGAGCAAAAATTGAAATATCTCAACGAAATTAGATATGTACCTAGATTGCCCTTTACCCAAGGTAGGTTTTGTATTGAAAATGGGCGAAATAGGACCGTAACCACACCCACTTCCCATATAACGGTAATTTTCAGAAATACGAAAACTGTCATATTTTAGTAACTACTAAAGCTTATTCACTGAAAATTGACATTTACAATTATCTTTAGACGTAAAATAAGAATATTATAAGTTTTATGAAAAATGGGCGTATCAAGCACATCCTGTCGATTTCCGAAAATTTGACCGCCATTTTGGATCCGCTATTTTGAATTTCTAAAATTCCAATTTGTAATCAGCAATCCCAAAAACCCCGAGCAAGAAATGTCAAGCACATCCAGTCGATTTCCGAAAATTTGTCCACCATTTTGAATCCGCCATTTTGAATTTCTAAAAAATAACTTCCAATTTGTAACAAGCAATCCCAAAAACCACAGAGCAAGAAGTTTCAAGCACATCCAGTCGATTACTGAAAGCTTGTCCGCCATTTTGGATCCGTCATTTTGAACTTTAAAAATGTAGCATCAGATGTGCATTCAGGGACACCAAAAACCTTAGCATAAGGAGTTCGAGAATAATTTCAGTTCTTCCAAGATTTTTTATTGACGAAGATAATTAAAAGTTTTCGAACTTAATGCCATTTATCCGCCATATTGGCATCGTTATTAGAAATTTTCGAAAAAACGCCACTCGGTATTCAAAAGAACGCGAATTTACAAATCTTTTAAGACATAGAACACAAGCAAAATAAAATAAGTCACAATAAAATAACTCGAAATCAGTGATACCATTCTCACGAATTTCGAATTCTCGGGAGAATTCCGTGATCACGACGGAATTCACGATAACGATTGTCACGTCGGGGTCTCCGACGGAATTGATGCCAGGCCTGTGAATGTAAGTAAATAAATTAAAAACATCAATGTTTTTATAGTGTTTCTAATGCGAAATTGGCAGAGTGGCAATCTATACTAATCTACATTTTGAAAGTCGTTTTTTTCTATTCGCAAAGCTCGAGATCTGCTGTATAAATTTTTTTAAATTTTGGTTATAGATTCTGGATGGGCTTCTCGTTGTCTTATACAAAAAAAAGTTTAAATACTTCTTAAACATTGAACTGTAGGACTTTAAAAATCCTATAGAATCTAACATACATGCCCATATAACAGCGCTGGTCATCTGCAAATCACAAATGAGAGCGCCCTCTGCTGTTAATTCGTACGGAATACAGCGTAAAGCAAGGGTTATGTATACTTATACATATCTACGTGCTAATGTTAACATTAATGTTTATTCTTGGGTTAAAAAAAAAAAACATATACATATGTATGTACAGTTCACAGAGAAATAATGTAGGCAATTATGTATGTAGGTTATGTTGCCACAAGGAGCAACTATTATTATTATTGCTATTAGCACCCTGACGGAAACAAGTGATTTTTTTTTAAATCAACTTATTAAAAGACTACATTAAAACAAATGCAATGAGTAATTGTTTCGAATTTTGATACTCCTTTTGCTAAAAAAAAACAATTTGTGTCTTGGAAGTATGAAAAAGCACCTGTGAAGTCCAGAACGCAAGCGTATTCAAAAGAAACATACTGACTTCGAAGTTGTGTAAACCGAATTCATTTTAAAGTAGTTGAAATCAAATGCAGAGTCGGACAGTCGACTTGCTGCTTGCACACAATTCAAATTGAACATTTGAAAGCACAAAAATATATACATGTCTGGCTGTAACTGAGCGTGCAAAGATGTCTGCTACAATTGGTCGCAGCCAAGAATGTCCATGTTTTTCTTATTTATGAAAAAGCATCTGTGTAGTGCAGAAAGAAAGCGTATGCAAACGAAACATACCGACTTTGAAATCGCCATGTGAAATAAATGAGTTCGTTGCAAGTAAAATGGTGAGAATTTCAATTAGTTATCATTGAAAATAAAGTAGTTTATAAATTACTTTCAAACTAATTCAATTTCCTGCAGGGCACTTATATTTATATATGCATATTTATGTACATACCAATGATGGGCACACCTAAATACTTTTGTACTTAAAGTACCACTTTGTGTACTAAATACACAAATACTTAGTATTTTGAGATGATTAAATATTCAAGTAAAAAGAACTTAGGTATTTAGGAGCTGCTAAATACCCAAGTACTATTTACTTAGGTGTTTAGGAGCTGCTAAATACCCAAGTAAACAATACTTAGGTATTTAGGTGGTGCTAAATACTCAAGTAAAAAGTATTTAGATATTTAGGAGCTATTAGATATTAAAGTAAGAAAAACTTTAGTATTTAAGAGCTGCTAGATATCAAAGTACAAAAGACGAAAGTATTTAGTAGGCGCTAAATACTCTGGTCCAAAGTACTCATGTACCTTGGGGTTGAGGTTTTCACTTTTAGCAATTAAATTGTCTCTTAAAGTGTGGGAACTTTGCTTGAATTAATTATGTATGTCAAAAATGAATAATAAGTTGACAGATTTTGTTTTGAACTTTAGTTCTTTCCTTCTTTTTCCTTCTCTCTCTCCCTAAAAGGCTCGCTTAAGGTGAACACGTTTCTTTACCAGTTCTTTTGTATATTATCAAATTATAATCGATTTTCATCCAACTTAAGTTTAATTAAATCACAAATTGCTTACCAAGAACGTTGTTGCTTATTACTCACTTGAGATCATTTTACCTTGCGTTTTGTTTGGGCGTCTCTGGGAATACCTCTAAAATTCAACAGGTTATGGGCCCAGTGTCCTAACTGCAACGTTACTTCAGACATCTAGAGTCCTATATGGAAAGCGAGCCATCTCTGCTTCCCGTCGATTCAGCAATTGGAGCGGACCTGATTAAAAGTTCGACTGACAATATTGGTAGCCACAGAAATATTCAAGCTGATTTTCAAGATATCGAGGAGACAAGCACGAGTGAATCAAAGGTATATCACATACATCGGTTCAATGGTCAGAACTATCAACTATGGCGAAGACAAATGGAAATATAAAGCTTAAGAAATACATCCTGGGAGCGGAGAGGTGAACCGAAGCCAATGCCACACAATGGGACGAAAAAGACGCGGAAGCGCAAGCGTTTATCATGAGGGGTATAGAGCTTGAACAATTAAAGTATCTTACTGAATGCACAACGGCAGCACAAATGTGGTCGAAACTGAAAGCTGTCCATGCTGAGAAAAGCGAAAAATCGGCGCAGGTTCTACTAGAAAAATTTATGAGCGCTAAAATGAACGATGATGAGGCAGTAGTCGATTACGTCGCAAATATAACTTCCATAGCACAACGACTCAAAGACATGTAACTGGAGCAGAAGGAACTAATGGTTATTGCGAAAATTCTAAGTAGCTAAATTTGATCATGTGCGCACTGCTTGGTATGCAGTTCCACGCGAAAGCCAAAGCATTGAGCGTTTAACCGAGCATTTAGTTAACGAAGAAAGTCTAATGAATTTACGATCAAACATAGAGAACGACAATACGCCCAATTCAGTCTACTCAATAAATAAAAGCAAAGGTAACAGCAGCAACTACTCAACAAATAAAGGTAAAAACAACAATTATGCTAAACGTAAAGGCAATTGTAACTATTGCCATAAGCCTGGTCATTGGGCTCGCGAATGCCGAAAACGTCAAAAGCATCACCAAAGCGTACTAGATAAAAAGAGCGAACCCCAAACTCTATTACTTGAAAGTAAACCGAATGAGAGAAAATGGCAGACCAAGGAAACAGCTGATCGTAAAAATTCATATTTATTTATTCTAAACGCATCAAAGGATTTACACAAAGTAAAAAACGTGTTCTATGCTGACTCTGGTGCCACTGATCACATGTCATTTCAAAAGGAACTTTTCACTAATATTAATGATAAAATTAAAAACGTTCATGTAAAAGTTGGTGACGGTCAAGGTACTTGGTTTTGCGAACTCCCTGCACACAATTAAAGACGTTAGATAAAAATTTTGTTTCGATTTCAAGAGCAACCGAAAGAGTTGCCAGAGTCATATTCGAATCTGGCGGTGAACACGTTTACTTCATGAATGGTACTAGCGTAATTAGTGAAGGCGAAAGTGATAATGGTTTATATCGTATGGACTTAAAACCAGAAGTTATATCGTCAGCAAATATTCTGACAACCGAGAATTCAATGCTTTGGCACGAGCGACTTGGGCACATAAACTTTGCTACACTTCGAGAAATGTGTGCGCGAAACGAGGTAGATGATTTACATGTTACTGATATGCAAAGAAGTAATGCATTTTGTGAAGGCTGTGCTTACGGCAAGCAGCACAGAAAATCGTTTCCAAAAAGCGGTGCAAAACGCGCTGAAATACCTGGTGAAGTTTTTCATATGGATCTGTGTGGAAAAATGAGTGCTTCATCAATTGGTGGATCCAATTACTTTTTTCTTTTGAAAGATGACTACTCGCGTT